TGGGCCTGGGCGAGCCAGTCCCAGTGTCTCACACCCGCTGCTGGCACCAGTGGTGCTGATTTCCTTCCTCTCCTTGTCCCAGGCCCCTCGGCCCCCAGGTCTCTCCATGCAGAGCCCCTTGTGGATTCTGCCATCCAGCTCACCTGGCAGGCCCCTGAGTATCCCAACGGGGGCATCACCAAGTACATTGTGGAGCTGCAGCAGCTGGGCGGGGCCAGCGAGCCTCAGTGGGTCGATACGGACAGCGGGGGGGAGACGACGAAGATCCTCCGTGGGCTCAACGCCAGCATGTGGTACCAGTTCCGGGTGCGGGCCAACTCCCACGTGCCTGGGGAGTGGAGTGAGCCGGTGAAGGCAGAGACCCTGGGCGATGGTAAGTGGGATCTTTCGGGGGGAGCCAGGAAAGAGCTGAGCCGAGTGGGCCATGCAGCCCCCCGACTCCAGAGGCTCTGACGACCTCCATCCTCCACCCCCAGCCCAGCTAGGGCTTAGCACCTGCATCCTCCCCAAGCCATAGTGCCAGGCCAGCCCCAGCCCAGCTGGCTCCCCACACACAGAGGTCCCTTGGGAGGCCCTCTGTCCAGACCTGCCAAGAGGCTAGTTCATGCCCCCGAGTGTCCCTGGTAAGCACCTCTCCACTGGTGTGTGACCCCGAATGGCGTGTGCCTGGACCCAGCTGCCAGCCCACAGCTGTGCTGCTGTGGTGTGTGCAGACAGCAAAGCTCCAGCCTTTGGTGTGGCATGGGGAGGTGTGGTGTGGGGAGATGTGGAGTGAGAAGACATCATGGGAAAGCGTGGTGTGGCATGGCATAGGGAGGTGTGGCATGAGGAGGCATGGTGGGGCATGGCATGGGTAGATGTGATATAGCATGGGGAGACATCATGGGGAAGCACAGCATGGCATGGCATGAGGAGGCGTGGCGTGGGGAGGCATGGTGCAGTGTGGTGTGGCATGGGGAGGCATGGTGCAGCATAGCATGGCATGGCATGAGGAGGCGTGGCGTGGGGAGGCATGGTGCAGTGTGGTGTGGCATGGGGAGGCATGGTGCAGCATAGCATGGCATGGCATGAGGAGGCGTGGCGTGGGGAGGCATGGTGCAGTGTGGTGTGGCATGGGGAGGCATGGTGCAGCATAGCATGGCATGGCATGAGGAGGCGTGGCGTGGGGAGGCATGGTGCAGTGTGGTGTGGCATGGGGAGGCATGGTGCAGCATAGCATGGCATGGCATGAGGAGGCGTGGCGTGGGGAGGCATGGTGCAGTGTGGTGTGGCATGGGGAGGCATGGTGCAGCATAGCATGGCATGGCATGAGGAGGCGTGGTGTGGGGAGGCATAGCATGAGGAGGCGTGGCATGGCATGGGGAAGGCCTGGCCCAGAGGGAGAGGGGTCTTTCCAGGGAAGGGGCCGTGCCAAGAGGTACATGGAGGGGGAGCGGGGGTGTCTGAACCCTGCAGCTGGGCTCAGCCAGGAGCCCTCTTCTCCCGCCTCCCCGCAGGGGCTCTCAGCGATGTGCCCAGACTGCAGAGCCAGGACGTGCCGCCCTCAGGACTAGCACACGAGCTGCTCCTGGCCATCGTCGGCTCCGTGTCTGTCACCTGCCTCACCATCCTCTTGGCCCTCCTGGCCCTGTTCCTCATCAAGAAGAATTTCTTTCACCGCCGCCGGACCTTCACCTACCAGTCTGGCTCGGTGAGTCAAGCTGCTCCCGGGGTCTGGTGCCCCAGGCAGCTCCGGGTCCTGCCCCCTACCCTGCAAGCGGCGTGCCCTGTGCACGGGGCAGAGAGCCCGGCGTGCGCACACCCTACCCTGCCCCGCCCCCTTGTTTGTCAGGGGGAAGAGACCATCCTGCAGTTCAACTCGGGGACCCTGACGCTGACCCGCCGGCCCCAGGCCCAGCCCGAGCCCCTCAGCTACCCCATCCTGGCCTGGGAGGACATCACCTTTGAGGACATGATCGGGGAGGGGAACTTCGGACAGGTCATCAGGGCAATGAGGA